AACGACTGATATCACGAAACCTCAACGACTGTTGTATTGGTATGAGCTGGAGAGTAGAGACAGAAGCGTACAGGTAAGCAAGCGTGTAGAAAGTGCAAGTCAGGGTACCGTGACGAACGAGATAATCTTGGTCCGGTAAAACAACTAGGTCCGGAAGATGGAAAAGGTACATGAGCGGAAAGGGTTGACACTGTCACGACAGACGTAATCCTTAACTCCACCAAGAGTCATGTGCTCACAGGGGCGTTTTAAGGACTGGAAGTTCTTTCGGATGAGCATGAGTTCGCTATTGAATCTGGAACTATGGTAAAAGACTTGGGGTAGTTGTATCGAATAATTTTAAGTGGTCTGACCAGTGTGCAGTAGCAGCGCGCAAGGCTAGGTGGAATTATTTAGACTACGGTCCGTCCTAACATGCAGACGATCGGAACTCTTCATTCCCGTTAGCAAAGCCATAGTCAGGCCACATCTAGAGTATTTTGCACAGGCTTGGGCACCCTTATTCAAGAAGGATTCTGCCTGTTTAGAGAGAGTTCAGATATTGGCCATCTGAATGGTTGAAAATCAAAGGGGGAGAACATATGAGGAAAGACTAGAGGCTCTAGGGCTTTTCTCATTAGAAAGAAGGAGACTGAGAGGGGACCTGATAGAACCCTTCAAAGTCATGAAGGGAATATCGGGGACAGGAGCGGAAACTCTTCATATTAGCTCGACAACATGGCACTAGGGGGCGTGAGTTCAAGCTCATGAAGCAAAGGTGTCGACTAAACATGCGAAAGCATTTTTTCAGTAATAGGATAGTCGATAGCCGGAACAGGCTTCCCCAGGAAATAGTCGACCTTCAAACAGTGCAGGCCTTTAAGACTGCACTTGACAAGCGATGGGTAGAACTATTCCCATCTCTGGCAGTGTAGACGAGTGTAGGTGTGCCAATTGTTTAGGATGCCATTTCCCTTTTTCACTGGTGCACGTAATGGAACGCTCATGTCTAACAATTCACTCGTCAACTCGGTGAGATGAGATCCTACTTTGCATTTTTATTTCAGCAGTGCTAAGTGCCCATTCAGTGAGCATACCATCGAAGGAATTATGGACGCTCGATTGGCCGTGGCCATATCCAGTCCTGTGCAACCTGACCTGACCTGACCTGAACGGAACTGAACTGAACGCGTAAACCCCGCGGTTGAACGGAAGGCGCGAAATACGGTTCCGGTTTTTTGTTGTTGGTTGTTGCAGCTTGTCCGTCGTTAAAATCGAGGCTACTGATACTTTAGGTGTTTTTATTAATAGTTATCCATATGTCTACCCAAGGACCCTATGCATTGGCTGATTTCGTGCGACTGGAGAAGATTGGCGAAGGTAATCCGTTTCTAAGTAATATTTTACGAGCCTCAGGAACCTATGGGGTGGTTTACAAATGCCGCAATAGAAAGAATTCGCTCCTAGCTGCCTTGAAGAAAATACGATTGGAAAACGACGAGGAGGGTGTACCTTCAACTGCTATTCGAGAGATTTCCCTGTTGAAAGAGTTACAGCACCCTAATATCGTGAAGTAAGAGTGACCTATACTTGTCAAATCTTGTCTCAGCTTAGAGCAAGTTATTATGGATAATGGAAGACTGTACCTTGTTTTCGAATACCTTAATGTTGATTTGAAGCGTTATTTGGACGACCATGGAAGGAAAAACCGTCTAGAACCGCACGTAGTCAAGGTGGGCTTCATGATCCTTGAGTTCACTATGCCCTTCAGAGCTTCATGTATCAGATGCTCCAAGGTTTACTGTTTTGTCACGGAAGAAGAGTGATTCATCGTGATTTAAAGCCGCAAAATATACTGGTGGACAGTGCAAGAAAAATAGTCAAACTAGCTGATTTCGGTCTTGCTCGCGCGTTTGGTATACCTGTTCGTGTTCTTACGCACGAAGTAAGTCAAACGATATGGCATTACTAAACTTCCTGGTTTTACTGTTCAGTTTTTATCGTCTTCCTAAATCTGTTCGCAGCTGTTTTCTTTGCTGAACATAGTCGACATAATCTTTCAGAGTAGTGGTCTATCCGCTGTTGGTGTTCACAGCAGCTCGGGGTCCAAGGTACTCAATACAGATCTGCGCCCAACCAAATCAGGTACGATTTTCACATCCTGGTTTTTTTAACTAAGGGCTTGGGCCAACTTCCCGATGTAAGCTGTCAGTGGTCCACCAATCGGTTGTAACACGACGTGGAAATAATTAGTTTTGATGGCAAGCCTCATCACCTCGGTCAAAAGCCGGTCCAATTTGATCGTCCCTCCCCAATCCCCGAAGGTACCCATCCAGACACTTGAAAACAGCGTTATTCATCACTGCCGCTGTCAGAGTTCTGGGATGTTGTGGATCTCACGAGTAGGTAGACGAACAGCAAACCAGCCGACTAAAGCTTCAGTAACGTAAGAGTGAGCTAGCGGGGCCTTATGTGGTTGGCCCCGAGGCTTAGGTTACTGGTTACCATCCCTGAACAGCAGATCTTCGTGGCTATGGGCTCCACCCCGACTGCTATTCATCACACTGGTGTGTACTAAAGAAAAGACGTATCGTAAGTGTGCCCCACGTGCGCAGCTATCCAACACGATACTGCACTTTGACGTGGAGTGATGGCTTGTACATCGTTGTGACCGTACGAGGTGCACAAGAGGGCTTTTGTATAGCCGAGTATTTAATTATGCCTAGAAGGTCAAAAGATAGAGATCGGACAAAGTTGTCCTGGTACTTCACGTTGGGTGTCCTTCTCAAATTGATGTCTTAGTCGGTAAAATGAGTACCAATCGATATATATATATAATCACGCCTCAGGGCAGACCGTGCCAAACAATCTATGGTACAATGATCTTTATTCATGATCTCATTATACGCACCGACCAAATGCAATTGTGCACAAAAGGACAGTTTCTACCACAAACTCATCGAGCTCATTTGGTTGAGTCCAAGCTTCAATATAATTGTGCTAGCGGGTGATTGTAATCAAGCGCTTCTGAAGCTTGCATAGGCGGTTGTGCTCTGCTCCACAAGCTTACAGGTAACGACAGTCAACTTACGTTCTGCACAGATCACCATCCGCTCATGTCCAGTGTGATATTCCGACATCTCTCAACCGAGGGCAGCGTGGTGTTCTAATTGAACTGCTACGTCAGCTAAAATTGACCGCAGCGGTCAACCATCTTGTACGTGGCTCGGTACTAATTGCAGGTCTTATTGGACCACGTCTAACCTAGCAGGGCCTTATGTGGTTCGCCACTCCAAGTCCCGGGGCTTAGGTTACCGTTTTCCGTGACGGAGCAGCAAGTTTTCCTGACTATGGGTTTGGTCTCCTGGTCCTCCAGGTTGGGGGTTCGCCAGAATTTGGCATTTCAGTCGATAAAAAGCGGTGGGCCTCCACTTCGCCTCACCCGCTGCCTTGCGGTTAGGTTCTTGTTAGAACTAAAGGCTTTGGACGAGAACCCTAATCGTTCTCCTGCTTAATGACTGGACACCCTGGCAGTACCCGTCCACCAAACCCCAATGCATACACAGAATAAGAATAATTTCATACTGCATCGGTCGTCGCGCAGGATAATCAGGACCACGCTGCCCATTGCATCGAGCGGGGTGGGTAGTGATAAGTGGGCTACTGCTCAGATATCCCAACCTTTGTTTAACTCTTTGTCTTCCGTTCCCAACCCTCTCCCTTCACCCCTTCTA